CAGGGACTTAGGGTCAGCTTGGATGGAGGTTTTGGGTGGATTAAATCTATATATTGATATATCTTTAAAATTTTATAGAGAAAAAGGAAGGAATAACATGATCTCAACTTTAGGAACATTCTAAATTTTATAAGCTTGTTTGGCATGACATAAAACGGCTGAAGTGGTTTATTCATTTAAATTTGTGGCTGAAATGACCCAGATCTGCTGAACTATCTGACAAAATTACTTGTTTTTTATCTATTTATTTAAATTAAATAAAACAATATCAACAAATGAAGGTTTAAATGTCAGTATTTTGAATTTTGGGTAATAAGATAACTCTTGCATTGCTTTTTCACATTACCAGCTGGTTCAGCCAGCAGAATCAAATAAGCTTGTGTTTGGGGAAAAGTCTTTCTGATAAGCCAAAAATGCACACCAAATGAGCCCTGAGTCTGCCAAATCCTTCCACTCTAGAACCCCCCATCCAATCTGAGAAGCATCATACACAACACAATGAACATGACTGTACATTATTTCTGCATCGCTATCCGAACTGCGTCGCACTTGAGCAATTTTTGTGTTATGTGCACACAGTTCTTCTTTGCAGTCTCAAGAGTTGGGAGCGGGTCGTCTAGCAACGTGGTGCTTTTCCTGTCTGAAATAATGGGAATGTATTTTGTGTCCTCTATTCTCTTGATCAGAAAGAGCCTCGCAACTGAATATCGGTAATGTTTGCTTTTGCTCTTCTCCAGAAAGAAAACTGATTGAAGAGAGTTGACATGTCAGGGGCATTAATTGATATTGTGTGGTGTATTGGATGACTGTACAGGATGATCATAACAGACGTGCTGGGAGGGGACATCCAGTTTGACTTCTACCACAGATGGTTTGATGCCATATTTGTAGCCAGTGCTTTCCTTTCAGGGCTCTTACTCTCTGCACATTACACATCCCGCCAGGCAGACAAACATCCGATTGATTGATTAACACCCAGCATATATTTTTTACAATGCGAGATGATCTGTGTACAGTGCCCAGAATGACTCCTCAGCAGCAAATAGTAAATAACCTCAGAATTCAACAACAATGCATCTTAATCATAGTATAAAGCTATGTTTTTTTGTTTTTGTTTTTTTCAGTGTAAACAATTATTGGTTATCTGATACTTCCTACATTTACCCCTCCCCAACTAGGGATGGACCGGTTCTACTTTGATACTATTCACACGTTCTACTTTGATTTTGCTTAATTAAATAATGTTTTAATATATTTTCTTGAAAAAAATATTGATAAATTTTCAAAATCTATTTTTTAAATTTTTTTTATTAATAAAGAACTATACACACACACACACACACACACACACACACATATATATATATATATATATATATATTAATGGTCAAAGTTGTGCCTCGACAAGTGTGGAATGTTGACCGTTGCACTTATTTAAGAACGGAGGAAGTATGCGATGTTCTTTTCCAAACAAGCATATCAAAATTAAGGTTTTTCTAAGCTTGACATTTTTTCTGTACTTTTACACATAGACAATAATATGTGTAGCAGTCGCACAACTTTCTCATATGTCATCCGTCATCTAGGTGAAAATGATGAGTTTAACTTGAATGTTTTATGATGATCATATAAATATGATGATGATGTTAACTTGGGTCTCATTCTATCATTATTATGCCTTATTTTTTTACATTACTTTGCAAAATTGTATCTTGGAGTTGAATACTATTTTTACTTATGTCATTGACTTATACAATGACAAATTATTCTGTTATGTAGTAATGTGATTTGCTACTTCAATATGTGTGCACTCTCATTTCTTTTTATTATATGTTATTTTATGAAGTATATAATTTAAATGTTATTTTGGACTTTATTACTATTTCTTTTTTTGTCATGAACTTATGCTATTATGAATGCACTTTTGATGGAGTAATGAGATATTCTATTTGAATGTGTGTATTTTGATTATCCTTTATGTACTAAATGTTTTTTAAGCTCTAAAAACTAGTACAATAATTTAAGCATTCAAAATAAGACCCGTATTTTTAATCTGAATTTTTGTAAGAGATGTCGTATTATACACGTATACGTATTTACACGTTTTTTAAAAGTCAACGTAATTTTGCCAAATTTTTGACCGTATATTTTGTTCCAGTTACCGAATAAAACACGTAGGTATTAAATCACGTTTAATTCTCGTACCGTATTTAACTAATTATTATTTTTTTGGATAAAATGTAAATATATATTAACACCCAGAAAAACTATACATCACATATTCTAGATCTCCTAACCCCCCACCCCCACATAATGTGAGGATGGAATGAGGTTTTTATTTGATCTAAACTATGCCAAAATAGCCAAGTATAATACTTGGCCCATCAAGAGGTTCAAAAAAATACATCGATGCTGGCCATGTACGCACACAGATCAGAGGCTAAATTCTAAACAAAGTACAAAAAGTGTTGCTAAATCAAACACTATAAAGTCTAAGACCATGCTTCATGTCGCGGCATCCATGATGTCCATACCGCGGTTTACCAGGTACCCAAGCCGCGGTATCCATAATATCCATGCCTCGACTCACCAAACCAACATGTAGCGGTCTATCCAAAACCGCGGCATCCATAATACATGCCACGACCTTCCACTCAGAAAGTAATCAAGTCATGCGGGTATAAATTGAAAAGTATTTTATACACCACATGCTTAATTTTTGCAATGACTTCCTCTTCCTTGACGTCTCCTTCATCGAATAGGTTGATATTCCTAGCGTGGCAAAGGTAGTAAACCGCGGCACAAAACCCAATCCAGACAGCTTTCCCTTTGATCTTTGATCTTTTATGATCCTTCAAGATCCATTTGACGGAGCTGCAAAGCGTGGTCATCTCTCGATCCATGCCCAACCATTCTTTAATTTTTTCCCAGACCCTACAAGTGTAATGACAACGAAAGAATAGGTGTGGCATTGTTTCCAATCCACCCTTGCACAAGTCACATCGATTAACAATATGTAGGTAACCCAGGTTATCCTGAGTAGGTAACCAGTTCCTCATAGCAAGCCAAACATTGAATGAAAATTTCGGAGGGATATAAGACTTCCAGATGAAGCTCATCCACACTCGCGGCGATCCTTTAATTCTCAACAATTCATAAATCTTTCCGGAAATGAGTTTACCATTAATGGATCTACTATTTAGGCCCATAATGGTATCATTCAAATTGTTAAAGCATCCCAAAATTTGGTCCCGGATGTGACTCAATTTCTTCATGATCATTGAGTCACGATTGTGTGGGATAAAATCCCACACGCTCCTACCATTAAGGTACACCCCATTTACCCACCTCACCCACAGGGTGTCTTTCTTCCTATGGGCATCCCAAAGTGTTCGAGAGAGAAGAGCATGGTTCCAAATCTTGGCATTATGAATGCCAAGGCCCCCCTCCTCTTTTGGTAGACAAATGTCGTCCCAAGCCACTTTAGAATATTTCCCACCCCATAGAAAAATTCGACAAATAGAAACTATCCTATCTAGGATTGTTTGGGGGACCGGAAAAACTTGGAGCCAAAAAGATTGGACCCCTTGAATCACGGATCTTATCAATTCTAGTTTTCCGGCATAGGATAAAGTCTTTGTGTTCCAAGCCTTTAAAAAATCCGAAATTGTATCAAGCAACGGTGAATATTGCGCCACAGAAACCTATAGAGGGGCAAGTGGAATTCCGAGGTATTTAACCGGGAATGTGCCATGCCCAAAGTCCACAAGGGCCATGATCTCCTGGAGATCATTTTCATCAACTCCACCTACAAAAATGTTTGACTTATCATGATTCACTTTAAGGCCCAAAGCATCCCCAAACTCTTCAAGGGCTTTGACAAGTATTTCAATTGAATAAGTGTCGCCCCGAGAGAAGAGTATTAAGTCATCCGCATAGGCTAAGTGTGTCAATCCAAGTTTCTCACATTGGGGATGAAATTTAAAATTTGGCCCTTTGGTTTTCAAATTAATAAGTCGAGAAAAATATCCTAAGCAAATGACAAATAACAATGGAGACATTGGATCTCCTTGCCGAATGCCCCTCTTACCCTCAAAGAAACCATATAACGAACCATTTAAGGAGACAGAGAATGATGCCGTGGTTACGCACTCCATAATCCATCCAATAAATCTCACAGGGAAGCCCAAAACCCTTAAGATATTATCAAGAAAGCTCCAGGAAATAGTATCATATGCCTTACGCAAATCCACCTTGATCATGCATCTTGGTGAGATCCGTTTCCTCATGTATCCTCTAACCAATTCTTGGGCAAGAAAAATGTTATCAAACATGAGGCGGCCGTCAACAAAAGCACCTTGGGCTAGGTCAATCAAGCCGGGAAGGCACGGAGTGAGTCTAGCCGCAAGGATTTTAGTAATAATTTTATACATCACATTCGTACATGAGATTGGTCTATAGTCTGAAACCTTCGGTGAGTGATTTGTTTTTGGGATAAGCGCAATAACCGTGTGGTTTATTTGCTTTAGTAACTTCCCTGAACGAAAGAACTCTTTGATGACCCGGACTATGTCATGCCCAATAAGTTCCCAATTAGACTTAAAAAATGCAGATGAATAACCATCCGGTCCCGGTGCCTTGTCATTGCCGATGTCAAATAGAGCATTTTTAATCTCTATTGTCTCAACTGGCGCAAGGAGGCTGTCATGGACACTAGGTTCCGCCAGGGGACCAGATCCAAAAACCATGGGATCAAAATGATGGCATTCGGCACCTGTACCAAACAAATCAATAAAAAAAATTACAAACTCATCACCAACTTGCTCTAAAGACGTAGTAAGACTACCATCTTCCAGAGTAATAGAAGATATCGCATTCCGCGTGGCCTTCCTCTTCACGATCTCGTGAAAGTACCTCGTGCCTTTATCCGCCTCCAGGATATGGTCCGCCTTTGCCTTTTGTTGGTAAAAACTCATTTCAGCCTCATTAAGGAATGTTGCCCGGTCTCTTTTCTCCTTCAATTGGCGTAAGAGTTCAACATCCGATGGCGATTGGATCACAAGATTTTGGAATCTTTTAAAGGAAAAATTGATTGTAATAATCCCAACTATTGGCGGTCCGCTTATAATAATCCCAACTATCGATTATTTTAGAATAATCCCAACTTTAGGGTCCTTCCGCCAATAACAGTCCCTGTAAATAAATTAATGTACTTTCTGAAGTGGATGGGAAGAGATATAGCAAATAATCTCTATAAATAATCTCAACTTTTAATTTTTACGCTTAATTTCTATTTAAAATTCACTTTTATAGAAGGTAATATTTGGTCATGGACCATTATTGGCAGATGATCCATATAGTTGGGATTATACAAAAATAATCAATAGTTGGGATTATTGTTAGCGGACCGGCAATAGTTGGGATTATTATTTTCAATTTTTCCTCTTTTAAATTCCTCTATGTCGCTTACGTGGATCGTCCAACTAGACTTTTTTACTGTTCACAGCAATTTTTTATAGATTTCTTTTCTTTTTCTTTTTCTTTTTCTTTTTTATTTGTTTCTTTCTTCCCTTCTCTTTCCTTTTTCCTTCTCGGTTTCTAACTTATTTGCCGTTCCAGGTCCATCGCACACTACCAAATTGCCCAATGGTCATTGCATCTCCACCCCTTCTCACTTCAATTCCTTTTTCATCTTTCTTTCTTCTTTGTCTTGGGTATGGATCTTTGGGTCTGAGTTTACCCCACACCGGAAATGGCTCGAGCGCCCGGCTTCCTCTTCACCGGCGACTTTTAAGCGGCGTCCAAGCCGCTGCAACTCGTCGCTTCAAGACACTTCAATCAACCGCGCTTGGCATCACAAGCCCCAATTTTGAATTTCATGGAAGAGTGACCGAAAGGGGGTAAATTTATGGTGAGTGGAAGAAGAAAGAAGAAAGAATGAGGGGGTGAGAAGTTTACTCGAAACAGGTGGACGAAAGAAGAAATAAAGAACAAAGGAGATGGGGGAAGGATGAAGAGGAGTTGGTGGCCGGTTACAGTGTTGGAGATGAAAGCTTGGGACGAGAAAGGTACAGGGAGAAGAAGAAAGAGAGAGAAGAAAAGAAGATACGGACTGAGAACTGCATAAAATTCACCTCAAATTAGATCTTGTACCACAAATTATCTAGTTCATCTCCCAGCTCACAAACACTGCTCAGGAAAATTCTGTCAAAAAAAAGCGATTTGGAGATATCACGATTTCCGTGAAAATTAACAGAGTGGGCTACTATGTAAAGATGGCGAAATACAAGGGGAGCTTCATCCGGTTACCCATGGGACCTCATAATTCAAGCCTATTGAAATTCCTTAACATTTTTTCTAATTTTGTAGGCCACTCAAAGTCGATGCAGGACGACTCAATATCTCTTCAGCACGGGAGTTTATTAGAAACTGAGGACCACACATCCATCTCTAAACTGATCTTTAATTATCAAATCCAGGCAGCAATCACTGAAACTAACCATGTCTTCTCTTCTGGGAAACAACACCAGTTGCCATTGATCCAAGCTTACTCAGATGCCTCAGACGATTTTGATCATTCAGATGACTCACTTTTTACAGATGACTCCTTGGGACATGCAACATTGCAACCGAGAGCGATCGTCCTCCTCCTATTTCATACCCAGAAGAAATTAGGAAATCCAAATTCAATACCGCGATTTGCCTCAAAGCTAATTTCATAACATCAGAGAATTGCTTGCCGACCGAGAACTTGAATACGCAGCTAAAAATCTACAGGAAATCTCAAAAAAAAACAAAAGGCGTCACAGCATGACAACTAGGTCCCAATCCAGAGATTTCCCATGGGATTAGCTATTTTTCCTTTTGTTATGTTTTTCCTTTATAATTTTCTTTCATGTACTTTTATTTTATTTTTTTCCGTTCTGCTTTGTACTCTTATTTTATTTCAATAAAATGTCCTTTTTCTAAAAAAAAAAAAAGATACGGACTGAGAAAGAAAAGAAAACGAAAAAAATAGAAAAAGTACAAAAAACCACTGGACAATCCACGTAGGCGGTCAACCGGGAAACCGGTTGATTACCTATGAAAAAGTCAATTTGATTAATTTGTAGCAGTTGGCGGACTTGATTGATTCGTTAAAAAGTATATGGACTTAATTGACTTTTTGATAATAATAGATGGACTTATTTGACAGTTTTCCCTTTATTTTTCATCTGCAAGACAAAAAAAAAGTGGCCGGTCTGGAACTAGGACCGGAACTGCCCCAGTCCTCACAAATGAGAACCGGGACTGCCCAGGGCAGTCTGCCCTTTACCCGGTTCGGTCCGGCATAGTACCACACCCGGTTCCGTTTGGTCTGGGACTGCCGACTGGGTCCACCCCTACTTGCTCTCATTTATTCACATTAGATACATTTCGAACGATTTTACCACTCTAATTACTCTCAACTCTTCTGCCCTGAACTATCATTATCAAACTTCAAAATATCTATAAGTGAAGTATGTAAACCCAAATAGAATTCTCGAAATGAAAAAGTTATACGGAGTATTAAATTACTTGTGTCACAAATCACAATATCATTTATCGTTAGGAATCGCTTTAGGATAAAAGAGACAATGTGTTTAAAGTCAACACACACTTTTTGGCGAAGAATGCGAACGCAAATCTAAATGATAATAGTTGTCACACAGAGTTTACTTGTACAATTTTATTTATTTACTGTACTTCAATGTGCTCAAAACGAACTCCAATTTATTGGGAAGGAGATCACAAAATATGAAGACATTCACTTGATACTCAGCACTTCCTCGGCCTTCTGCTTAAGGATACCCAATCTCACATTCTGGGAGCGGCTAGCTGTACAACAATGGCAGATGCACCTCCTCCCCCATTGCATGCGCTCCCCACCCCATATTTCCCTTTCTTCTGCTTCAGCACCTGACCCCCACACACACTCACCCAAATTAATTACACGTAACTTCATATGCGTAGAAATCAGTCGTGACACTAGAATCTCTAAAATGAACACCCCATATAAGAATTATCTCTAAATTACAAGTTATAATTCCTTACATCTCCATGCTAAGAAACTTAACCTCTACATATTAAGGAGTAATATTTATGTACAAACACACAAACACGCACAGATTTCTTTAGAGTGTTGAAAATATACAAGTTATGTTTTGCTGCTATACACTTTCCTTGCATTTTTATGTTTACTCTATAAAGATTATGCACCCAGCTCACATCTCAACAAGTTTCACGCCCTATAGTTTCTTAATTCTTATTCTTTACACACATAAACTCCCTTTTTATACACAACATATACAAACTACATATTAATGTACAATCTATTCAGTTGCTTAAAACTTGAATAGGAATAGCTGTTTGATCCGAATTGTTTTAATTATTAGAGATATGACAATATGTTGAAAAAGAACGCCATCATTAACCCCAAAACTTTGTCACCCATAAGATAGTAAGTTTGAGGCAATGGAGTACTCACACATGCTCAGATATGTATATATATATATATATTAGGTGAAAAAGAAACATACCCCGATAAGGGTAGCCAATATACGGGCTCCACTGGACCCAAGAGGGTGACCCAAAGCTACAGCTCCACCATGCACATTAACTTTATCCTGGATGAAGTCCCCCACATATATTATAAGAAAGACAATTCTATAATGCTTGTCCACAGACAGATGATCGTAAAGAGCAATTAATATGCTTCACTTTTAAGTTTCCAAAAAAAATATGATAATTTTATATAATAAAGTAAAAGTGATTCAATAATAATTTAATACAATTATGAAAAAAAACTCGCATTCAACACCAATGTTTGGGTAGTTTAAGAAAAAAATTGGGAGAAGAAACCGGTGTGGCCTTGAAATATGCAACAAATCAAGTATACCTGCCGGCATTCTTTTAGAACAATTAATTTAATCACAAAATTGTTATGTTAGAACAAATGTACACTTCAACTATACATCAAATGGCACATATACCGCATAACTATATTTTAACAAACATATATACCCACAACCATTTGGATATAAGTGTATATTTGTTCCAAGATTGCATTCTTTTGTGTTTAATTGTTCTAGAAGAAAGGTATTCCTTGACATATAGTTACATTATATTTGAACTTTTGTAAAATTTATAAGCTTAACCGATGATGGGAAAAGTTAAATTAAGCCCCCAAGGTCCCATCACAAAAGAGATCAGGCGGCGGGGGGGGGGGGGGGGGGGGGGGGGGCAATCACTTATATGAATGGGTGGCCTGTGGTTAATTTCCAAATATGGTGTGAAATACTTCAACAATATGTATAGGTGCATTATAGACACCACACTTGGAGGGAGAGGTGGAGTGAGCTCACCTCATTAAGTCCAAGTAATTTGTTATTTGCAAGAGCTACAGCCTGCATGCATGCATAGTGTGCAACTTATTAGAATAAGAACAATACAAAATGGAAACAAAATATCACCACCCCCACCAAAAGAAAAAACAAAGAAAGAAGTCATGTCTATCCATGATAAAATAATTGACATTTAAATTTCACATGAATGACGTTTACAAGGTACAATATGATGTCATACTGCAAAAGGCTCATTGATTTCGTAATAATCGACTTGAGAAGCTTCTAGACCAGCATTTTTTATAGCCTTTGGAATTGCAAGAGCAGGAGAAATTGTAAATAATTCAGGTGCCTGCAAGACATATATATATACACACACACACTCATCATCAAATGTGAAAGCATTAAAAAGATATTGCAAACAGGGAAATAATCTGTGAAGCAAGAGAAGACCTGAGCAGCATCTGCATACCCAATGATCCTTGCAATCACGTTTAAACCCAGCTCACTGGCTTTTTTTCCGCTTACTAAGACCAAAGCAGCAGCACCATCACTGAAATTGCATCATAATTTTATTTACTCTCAAATTAATGGTTACTGGCACAGTTAAAGAAAACATGAGTTACAATGTTGATAGGAATAAGTAATGATTGGGCCTATTCATTAAATAATTAGTGGGCCTATTCAATAAAGAGTATAATAGAAAGGACAAAAAGTCTATTATTAGTTAATAGTTCCTTTTATCCCTGCGTGGATAAGGACTATAAATAGAAGGGGAGTCAGCTAAAATAGGCAGGTTGTTATTTGGTTTGGACTTGGACTTTGGAGACTGGGCATCTCGAATCGTCCATCACTGTATACCTATTTCGGTTCTTCGCTATTCAATAAACACGCTTCTACTTCTTTTCTACTTCATTTCTCTGGATCTGTTATTGTTCTTGCTTGATTAAAGTGCCTTATCATTGGTATCAGAGCCGTCTGATCCTGAAGATCGGATCTGTGATACGAAGGTAACAAAGTCTGTAGCAGTGGTGAATGGTACGAACCAGAGTGAAGATGGATATACGCGTGGATAACTTGGAGCGGAATCTGGCTGAGATGCGAGAGGAACAGGATCGGAAATTATTGGAGGTGCAGCAGGAACTCCGATCAGCGATGAATGATCAGCGGCTGGCGATGGAAAATCTGGCAGCATCCATGGCCGCGATGAATGAGCAGCTGCGGACCAGAGAGAGATCACGATCTCAACCTCGACATCATTTGCGATCTTCTCGCAGCCCAACTACTTCTGGAGGTAATCCGAACTTGTCGCATATCCAAAATCCCCCTGTTGGTAATCATGTGTTGTCGCCTATACCAAATCACAGAAGGCCAGATGATATGTATCGATTTCCAGTATATACGGGTAGAAAAATTGATTTGCCTGTGTTTGATGGAGAAGGTGCTTACAGTTGGATTGTAAGGATGGAAAGGTATTTTCGTCTGAACAATATTAATGAAGAAGAACAGGTGGAAGCTGCAGTAGTGGCTATGGAAGGCAGAGCTATCAACTGGTTTATATGGTGGGAACACCAGAATGAAAGGAGGACGTGGGAGAATCTGAAGACTTCTATCGTTCGCAGGTTTCAGTCAGACTTAATTCAGAATCCATATGGGCCGATGCTTAGCCTGAAACAGACTGGCACTGTAAGGGATTACAGGGATGAGTTCGAACTAGTGATAGCTCCTCAAATCAATGTTGACATGGAGATATTGAAGGGAATTTTCCTTAACGGCCTTAAGAATGAGATCAAAGCTGAACTCAAACTGCATAATTCCACTGCTTTGAATGACATCATGGATATGGCCCTTCTGGTTGAAACTAGAAACGAAGCTATCTATCTGAAGACTAATGGTGAAGATAAAGTAACTTGGAAGGAAAAGGGACCTAGTGCTACCAAACATCAGACTTGGGTGGATGGATTTAAAGCAAAAATAGGGAACTCGGGGTCCAACAATAATGGCAAAGGTGCAGCTGAAAGCATGAATTTCAATTCTTGGTTTGAGAAGATGGGAAAGAAGGTGACTGAAATAAACAATTCAGAAATCAGAAAGGTAGGTCCTCATTTATCCCAGGAAGAGTTTCAGGAAAGGAGTAGGAAGGGACTGTGCTTTAAATGTGGGGAGAAGTGGAGCAAAGAGCACAATTGCAAACTGAAAAATTATAAGCTAATGATGGTTGAAGATTCAGATGGAGAGAAGGAGCATGATAAGGATTCTAAAAGTTCTGAGGAGGAAGAAGTTACTATGGAGTCCAAATCAATGCAATTATCCTTCATGAACCAAGAAGGAACACCTTCTATGAGGGCTTTTAAGGTACAAGGGATTCTGAAATGGGTTAAGGGAGAGAAGATAGTAGATGTTCTGATTGACAGTGGAGCTTCACACAATTTCATATCTCAGAAATTGGTTGGGCAGATAAGTTTACCTTATCATACCACTTCTGGCTACAAAGTGCAGACTGGCAATGGAGATGTGGTATTCAATAATGGCAAATGTGAAAAATTAATTTTAAATATGCAAGGCACTGTTATTCAGCAAAAAATTTATATAATGGAGTTGGGAGGAGCTGACTTAGTTCTTGGCATGGAATGGCTAACCAGCTTGGGGGATGTGGAAGTTAACTTTCAGAAACAAAGTATAAAGTGGCAGCAGTTTGGAACAAATCAGGTCATTCAAGGAGATCCACAGTTTAACTCGACTGAAGAATCACTGCAAACCATGGTACAGATCATACAGGATACTGGGGATGGATACCCTGTGTCCTGTGAAGGCAGAATTGAGGAAAGGAAGGAAGGACAACAGAAGGATCATATCAGGGAAGATATTTTGGCAGAATTTCCTTATGCCAGTTTTTTTTTTCAGACCCCAAATAGCAGCAGGTTCTGCACCATTCATATCCTTGTGTGCACCTATCATTTGTGGATTACAAGGTTCTTATCAGAAAGCCTTCTTAAAGAAATCTGAAATGGAATCTGCCATTAGCATTGATCAGTTCTTGGATATTCATGTTGATCGTATCAGTACCAGGGAGACTAGATTTTCAAGGAGTGTAGCAGCTGAAATCAAAGAGCTAGGGTCATATCTTGAAGGACTACACAAGACTGCTAAATTCCAGATTCGGGACAACAAGGAGCTCTATGAAAACGCTGGGAATGCCTTAGAGAAATACTGGTCTGAGGAAGTGAGGATTAAAGGTCCAATGCTGCTGATAGGGATACAAAAATCCACACTGTATTGGGAAGGGAGAAGTGCAAGAAAGAAGTACAAGTGGGAGATCATGGCTGACTCCTATCACCCACCTTGAGGACAAGGTGGTTGTTTAGGGGGGGAGTATTGATAGGAATAAGTAATGATTGGGCCTACTCATTAAATAATTAGTGGGCCTATTCAATAAAGAGTATAATAGAAAGGATAAAAAGTCTATTATTAGTTAATAGTTCCTTTTATCCCTGTGTGGATAAGGACTATAAATAGAAGGGGAGTCAGCTAAAATAGGCAGGCTGTTATTTGGTTTGGACTTGGACTTTGGAGACTGGGCATCTCGAATCGTCCATCACTGTATACCTATTTCGGTTCTTCGCTATTCAATAAACACGCTTCTACTTCTTTTCTGCTTCATTTCTCTGGATCTGTTATTGTTCTTGCTTGATTACTACCAGTGCCTTATCAAATGTTTAGAGCAAAGCTATTATTTCTAAGTATAAGTGAATATTTAATAAACAAAAACCTCATGCTGGAAGAGTTGCCAGCTGTCACGGTGCCTCCATCTTCCTTGAAACTTGGTTGGAGTTTCCTCAGCTTTAAAGCATCAAACTGCAAATCATGATATAGGGATCTAATTGTAAAAGGTTGAAAATATTTTCATTTTTCTTCTTGGTGTGCTCAAAAGCTTCATATAGCTAGTGAACCATTTCAGTATTTTATTTTTTATTTTTTATTTAATCCAACGGAGAGAATTTTACAGAGCATAACATTCCTACAATTAACTGTGACTTTAAAGTTTCACGTTTTACGTCAAGCTAGGAGCATTTTTAAGATAATCCTGATAGAAAACATTACAAATATCCAGAACACAAGGAAATTATAGAATTGTATTAAACGAACTCTGCTATAGATCAGAGTTGAGTGCAGAAAATTGAATCAGAGAAGAAGACAAAATCTAGGACTCTAAGCAATTCGAGAGTGCCTTGCTCTCCAAGTTCTAACTGAATACCAGCCCACCCTCCTCTCTCCTCAGACACTCCCTTTTATCCCATTCACTAGCGGACCCCGCCACTTAATGAGTTAGTTAGCCTCTTTCCCTTTTTTAGGATTTCTTCTTTAACCCTTTCCACATAACAAAAGGGCTGATGATTCCATTCAGAGCATTGTAAGTATTTCTAAACTTTGTTTGAACATTCTAAATGATTTATCAAGCAAACCACTTTGGAAAGAAACGCTTTCCCTTTTCTCCTTCGTATCTTTTTCTTTTCATGGTTAAAAAAATTAGTGTATGAACTATCTGTGTACTCTACTGGTGAGTTGTGATTACGGATTGTATAGTGAATATGGGTTGATGTACTTATTTACCTTCTCCAGGCTTTCATCCTTATCAACAACAGTGGATGGCTTTCCCCTTCCCACCGACACCTCAACCTGTAAATTGGTACTAAAACATGATTGCCTAAATGCAGGGACTAATTCTATTTCTTCTAGAATAGAGGGCAACACCCACAGGATTGTCCCGATGGCATCTAGTAGAGTTTATCCACAAGATCACATTTTGACTGTGCATGGAGCAACTCCACCATAAAGTTCCTCCATGAGATGTAAAGCTATAAATAATGACTTAATGAGTATACCGGAACAATCTCCCATGTAAACGCTCCAGCATTATGAGCAGCGATCCCCCGTTCATAACTTCTAATTGCATAGTCGTCCTGCACATACATTTTAGGTGTCATAAACACAAGTGACATTTCAAAAGACTTCGAGAAAGAGGTTAAAGAATATGTGTAGATTCATTTCGCTGTACTCCTACATCAGACAATTACATTGAAAATAACTGGTAAATAAGACCTCGGACTGAGCTATTTATCATTTATTGTGTTCGGCCCAAGTGCCTTATGGTTGACCCTAACCTAATCCTGAACCCCTCTATCACTTCACTGAACTCAAAACCATAGACAGTTGTATGAATTGAGTAGATCCAAATTTATAAAAAAGCGTCTTTTTTTTTCTATTCAATGTACATAGAAAATGAACCTGGTCTTCTCTTGAGATATTGTGATTTTCAGCACAAATTTCAGCACATATTCCCATCCCAAAATCATTATAAACATCCAACAGTCCGTCTTTAAGGATTCCGTCAACAAGAGAATCATTCCCCAAGCGAGATCCGTTCCTGCCGCAAGTTCAAGCAGGTTATATGGTTAGATAATTAAGAACTCACCATGAACTCCTACAACAATTGCAAGAGCAACATCACAATTTGAATTAGTATAGTTCTAGTTGAGTTAACAATCCCTTGATAATAAGAACCAGAGTACGAGGACAAAATCTTAAAACCAAGGTAAGAAAGGTAGTAACTCCATCCCATATCTGGTGGGTGATATATTGGTAAATTTCTAATCTCAGATACTTTAATTAACGCCAACATTGCTTTCAAATGGACATCCTTATCCCTAATGCACAGTGCATTTGGGATGGAAACCTTAGAAGTGTCAAACCTGTAAAAACACTCATCCTTATGACAACACATACACACCTTGCTTGAGCAAAGTATTTAGGGACATTTGACATACTTTCCATGCCACCAGCCACAACCACATCATTGATGCCTAACTGGATACTCTGTGCAGCAAGCATAGTTGCTGAAATTGGGAAACAAACAATAAATACAACAACATTCAAGCCTTATACCCAAAAGATTTTGGGGTCGGCAAACATGAATCGATCCATGATATTAGAGCCAAAAAGAGAAGAAAGATAAGAAGAATAAAAAGATACAGTAAGATAAAATGGATTTTATCTTTTGACAATCCCAAGTTCACAACATTGCTAATAAAATTTCCACATCAAAATACGAATTATGCTTGTTTATAATGTGTTGAGTTAGACTAACTAGCTTATAAATTCATTAACTTGGATTTGATCTTTTATTATGTTTGACTGATGTGCATTATGGCCCAATTGAACCACATCTCAACTATAAACTGTATTTGTTCATGAGTTTACTGGAAAAATGATTTGTTGGGCATATATCTATTATATTTATAAAATAGTTATCTTTGGAAAGAATCCTATTTGTATTGTGTATTATAGGAACTTGCTTGTATTAGGATTATGCATTCCAAATGTACTTGTATTTATACATCATACTCGTACCATTCATTAATCAATACACAACACATTATTTCCATTCTCAACATAAAGGAGCTAGCATACCTTTGGTCCCAGAAGCACAAACTTTGTGAACAGTGGTGCAGACCACTGTGTTTGGTAATCCTGCACCCAGCGCAGCTTGCCTTGCAGGGGCCTGTCCCATGTTTGCACTCAGAACATTTCCAAAGAAAACTTCTTCTACAAGAGATGGATCAACACTTGCTCTCTTCAGAGCACCTAATAAAGTCATATGGAAGGATATAAAGTTTTGGTATGAAGTTATATTATTGATGCAAGAAACTACTCTTTAGAATGGTAAGGGTCTTACTTTCAATAGCTATGGATCCAAGTTTAGTAGCTGGCAATGATGAAAGAGAGCCAAGGAAGCCACCAATGGGTGTCCTGGCAAATCCAACAATGCAGACATCTAGCCAGAATAGCAGATACAAGTGACATCAGAATGGCAAACTCACAATGAAATGAATGTCAAAGCAAATGATCAACAATGATATACGTTCATTCATCTCATACTGGCCAAATATAATAACACAAACTAAAGTATAATGTCTTGGGGTACTCATATTATGTCATCCACTCATCCTTTATTCTTTTATTTCTTATAGGATGGAATTTCAAGACAGTGATGGCAATGCTTAATGAATATATTAATCGGATTATGCAAGTCTGGCTTTTGAAGCTGAAACATTTGCATGGAGTCAATTACTAACCAGAATACATGTATGTATGTATGTATGTATGTATGTATGTATGTATGTATGTATGTATGTATGTATGTATGTATGTATGTATGTATGTATGTATGTATGTATGTATGTATGTATGTATGTATGTATGTATGTATGTATGTATGTATGTATGTATGTATGTATGTATGTATGTATGTATGTATGTATGTATGTATGTATGTATGTATGTATGTATGTATGTATGTATGTATGTATGTATGTATGTATGTATGTATGTATGTATGTATGTATGTATGTATGTATGTATGTATGTATGTATGTATGTATGTATGTATGTATGTATGTATGTATGTATGTATGTATGTATGTATGTATGTATGTATGTATGTATGTATGTATGTATGTATGTATGTATGTATGTATGTATGTATGTATGTATGTATGTATGTATGTATGTATGTATGTATGTATGTATGTATGTATGTATGTATGTATGTATGTATGTATGTATGTATGTATGTATGTATGTATGTATGTATGTATGTATGTATGTATGTATGTATGTATGTATGTATGTATGTATGTATGTATGTATGTATGTATGTATGTATGTATGTATGTATGTATGTATGTATGTATGTATGTATGTATGTATGTATGTATGTATGTATGTATGTATGTATGTATGTATGTATGTATGTATGTATGTATGTATGTATGTATGTATGTATGTATGTATGTATGTATGTATGTATGTATGTATGTATGTATGTATGTATGTATGTATGTATGTATGTATGTATGTATGTATGTATGTATGTATGTATGTATGTATGTATGTATGTATGTATGTATGTATGTATGTATGTATGTATGTATGTATGTATGTATGTATGTATGTATGTATGTATGTATGTATGTATGTATGTATGTATGTATGTATGTATGTATGTATGTATGTATGTATGTATGTATGTATGTATGTATGTATGTATGTATGTATGTATGTATGTATGTATGTATGTATGTATGTATGTATGTATGTATGTATGTATGTATGTATGTATGTATGTATGTATGTATGTATGTATGTATGTATGTATGTATGTATGTATGTATGTATGTATGTATGTATGTATGTATGTATGTATGTATGTATGTATGTATGTATGTATGTATGTATGTATGTATGTATGTATGTATGTATGTATGTATGTATGTATGTATGTATGTATGTATGTATGTATGTATGTATGTATGTATGTATGTATGTATGTATGTATGTATGTATGTATGTATGTATGTATGTATGTATGTATGTATGTATGTATGTATGTATGTATGTATGTATGTATGTATGTATGTATGTATGTATGTATGTATGTATGTATGTATGTATGTATGTATGTATGTATGTATGTATGTATGTATGTATGTATGTATGTATGTATGTATGTATGTATGTATGTATGTATGTATGTATGTATGTATGTATGTATGTATGTATGTATGTATGTATGTATGTATGTATGTATGTATGTATGTATGTATGTATGTATGTATGTATGTATGTATGTATGTATGTATGTATGTATGTATGTATGTATGTATGTATGTATGTATGTATGTATGTATGTATGTATGTATGTATGTATGTATGTATGTATGTATGTATGTATGTATGTATGTATGTATGTATGTATGTATGTATGTATGTATGTATGTATGTATGTATGTATGTATGTATGTATGTATGTATGTATGTATGTATGTATGTATGTATGTATGTATGTATGTATGTATGTATGTATGTATGTATGTATGTATGTATGTATGTATGTATGTATGTATGTATGTATGTATGTATGTATGTATGTATGTATGTATGTATGTATATACTTCGTATATAATAAAGATCGAATGAGAACAATGCTTAATGTGATAACACCACATTTACCCTAACGTGTTGCACAATGAAGCTTGTAGATGGCAGTTTTCACGTTTTCACAATAATTACCAAAATGCCAATGTGTTTATTTAATATAGGTTTAATTCGAGCAAATTGAAAATGTGCAACAGAAGAGCTCCATTGTGCACCACATTGATTTAAGTGTGAGTGTTCTCACGTTAAGCATCATTCTCATTGTTCCAATAACAACAATGCTTATTGTGAGAACGTATTAACACACACATTTAATCCAATGTGATGCATTTTTTTTACTTTTCTCAAACTAAGCCAATAATAAATAGACATAGTGGCAACTTGGTAAATATTATGCTAACACAACAAAATGCAATAGACGAGCTTCATATATATATATATATATATATATATATATATATATATATATAAAGAGCGCAGTGTTTTTCAAGTACACATTTGACTGCCTTCTCGATTGAATTTTTAGCTGAAATTTGATGGGCATAAACTAGACTTGATAAAGAACATGCTAAAAAAAAATCACCAAAAAGTGCCCCAAACGGCCTCGGCCGGATGGAGGTTCCCGTCAGGCCAGCTGGAAATGAATTTGTCCTATATATATAAGATTGTAGTAAAAGAGTCTTTCCTTTGATATCAACTAAATAAAAAGCAAATTCTAATCTTTTTTATTATCAGTCATTTCATTCAACCATGTTACTCCTCCGTCCCACAAAGATGATCTACACCTCATCTCCATACACATTAAGAAAGGGTAGTTAATATACTAAATACATTACTCCCTTTGTCCCTTAAAATTTTGTCATCTTTGATTTTTTTGATCAATCATGTTCAACTTTGACCAATTATATATTTTTATAGGAAATTATTTATAATATAGAAACGTTCTTTGTTAAAGTACTTTCATAAAAGTATAAAATTTATAAATTTCGTAAAAGTATAAAATTTCTAACTTTCATGACTTTAAACTACCTCCATCCCATTTGTTGAGCCATCATTGACTTTTCTAGTCAATGACGGTAAGCTTTGGTTAATCATTTTAACACTTACTACCTCCGTCTCGCTAAGATTGTCCCATTTTACCATTTCGGTTTGTCCCACTAAAATTGTCTCATACCTTATTTGGTAAAGTTTGTGTGGCTCTAAATCATTCATTCATTCTTACTTTATTCTTACTTTATAAATTCAATATCAACCACATAAACCACTTTTTATAGATTTGTGTGTCACTCCCTCTTGTCCTATTGTTAGTGGGACGGGGGAGTACAATTTAGTGAGAATTATTAATTTTATACTTTTATGATAATATTTTTAACTTAGAAAAGGCATTTCACGCAAGTATATCAGCATCATCATGGATATGTATGAGGATAGTACTACAAGTGTTCGTACTAGTGTAGGGAGGACTGCGGAGTTCCCTATTACTATCGGAGTGCACCAAGGATCGACTCTGAGCCCTTTTTTATTTGCCATAGTCATGGATGAACTTACAAAGTCAATTCAAGACGATATACCGTGGGGCATGATGTTTGCCGACGATATTGTATTGATTGATGAGACGCAATCAGGGGTTAAAGCAAAGTTGGAAGTATGGCGACAGACATTGGAGAACAAGGGTTTTAGACTAAGTAGAAGCAAGACAGAGTACATGGAGTGCAAGTTTGGTGGAGGTAGAAACAATGGTAATAGCGGAATTACTTTAGATGGTAAGGAGATACCGGTCAGCGATATGTTCCGTTACTTGGGCTCCATAATTCAGAAGGACGGTGAGTTAGATGGAGATGTATCCCATAGAATCAGAACTGGGTGGATGAAGTGGAAGAGTGCGTCAGGATTTCTATGTGATCGAGGTATGCCGACTAGACTGAAGGGTAAATTTTATAGGACAGCAATTAGGCCTGCATTACTGTATGGCACGGAGTGTTAGGCGGTGAAACAATGTCACATTCAAAAGATGAGTGTGGCAGAGATGCGTATGCTGCGTTGGATGTGTGGGCATACTAGAAAGGACCGCGTGAGGAATGAGACAATTAGACAAAGGGTGGGAGTAGCACCTATTGAAGATAAGATGCGGGAGTCACGCCTACGGTGGTTTGGTCATGTGCATAGAAGACCGAGTGATGCACCTGTCAGACGAGTTGAGATGTGTGGAGAAGAGGTAGGGAAGAGAGGGAGAGGAAGGCCCAAACAGACGTGGGTTAGGGGAGTCAGAAGTGATATGCTTCTTCTTGGATTGGATGAGAGTATGGCTTTGGAGAGAGCAAAATGGAGGGCGGGTATTCGTGTGGAAGAGTGATCTTGTATCATCTTTTCTCCTCTTTTTTTTTTAATCCTTATATATAAATATTACTTTATCCTTTTTATTTGATCTTTTATATGTATATTCATCTCTTTTATATTATCTTTTTTTATAATAGCTTATCTTTTTTATCTTTATTTTCGTTCTTTTCCTTTTGGTGATATCATATATCGATTCATGTTAGCCGACCCCAATATCGTTTGGGACTAAGGCTTGGATGTTGTTGTATGATAATATTTTTAACAGAGAACATTTTTATATCACTTTCATATTTTAAATACTTTCGTATATAAATATATTATCGGTCAAAGTCTAGCATCTTTGAATGGAAAAGTCAAAGATGACAAACTAAAATGAGACTGAGGGAGTACTAATCAAAATCATGGTCCAAACTTTACCACCATTGACTTGAAAAGTCAAAGATGACAAAGTTTTAAGGGACGGGTAGTATATTTTATCGTTTTTCCATATATATCCTAATTTGTCATAGGCAAAATCATGGTTCATACTTTACCACCATAGACTTCAAAAGTCAAAGACGATAAAGTTTTAAGGGACGTGTAGTATGTATATTTTATTGTTTTTTCCATATATACCCTAATTTGTCATAGGTTTTACAATCTATGATACTTCAAGATAGTACATCAATAAGGGCATATATGGAATGAAGAAAATTGGTGGGCTTAATATGGTAGGTGGACTGGACTGTATATGTAGAACGAACCAAAACTGAAAAATGGACTATCATTGTGAGTTGTGAGATAGAGTGAGAAGTATCTTATACACTTGTATTTCATAATAAAATAAATGACAAGTAACCTAGGACTCTAAAATGAGACTTGTGTGCTTCAGTGAAAATTCTAAAATGAAAATGTTACTTGACAAAGCAAAAGGAATGAAATAAGAGTTTCTCATTGAGGGAGAAGTACTTTCGAAAAATGGAATGAAATAAGAGTACCCTACAACAGCATTTTCCAGGAGTGAAGGAAGACATATTTGTTTTTTCACAGAAATAAAATACATGAGTGATTGAGTTCAATTCATGTTTTGAGTAGTACACTTACAAAAACTTAATTTATTTACAATATGCTATTGTGTTTTAAACTTTTAATTATATGTTCTATGATTCTATCATCAATTTACAGCTATTAGATCTTAAATCCAATGCACCAAATTCATTTTCTGCTAATAAGCTATTCTCATTTGGACATACCCACAGCCACCGACCCCCCAAAAATATATAGATGACTCGTCACCCACTCAGACTAACCTCTAGGATTGATCTTTTCTGCTGCAGCTGGGGCCATTGCTAGTTATTGTTTATGCAAGTCAGCACATCAATAGCCTTCTCATACAAAAACCAAATTAGAATACTTCTTACTCTCAAATATAGGCAGTTTTTAAAGAAACTTTTCTTTTAAAATATTATAACCAAAGTCCAAGATAGGATCATTTATTTAATTTTAAATAATCTCTTCATATCATTTACACTGAAATATCTATAATTAATCTTATTATATTAACATTAAGTATTTAATTTAATGCTGTTTTTTCTAAAATTTTCAAATTTTTATTGTCTGCTTAGAGTGTAAGCACAAACCTTACAAGGCCTAAGGGCAGAGGAAGTTTTTTTGTTATAAAGATTTTATTGTTTGCTTACTATGTGTGCACAAACCTGTGAATAGACATGGTGTGGATTAGTTGGATACTTGGATCCATATAGAACAAAAAGGGAACAAAAATATACACTAACAAATAAATCAGGTATTGTTAAAATGAACAGAATATATACACAAAAATATACAGGGTAACATGACAGTGTTAATTAAAAAAAATCTCAAACTAACAAATAAATCAAGGAATTAGGTAAAATTATGAACCAAAGAACATTGTTGAAATGTGTGGCTACTGGCTAGCATATAATAACCAAAAATCAGAGGAAAGTGGCAGAAAACGATGAAGGATACACTAAAAGCTTACCTATTTAGGTAGCTAGGGAAGGGTTGAGAGGTTTACCTGCTGCTTGGTTTTTGTAGTGTCTTTTATCCGCTCCATGGACACCAAAAGGCAGCAGCACTCTGGAAACCAACGGCCAGAATTATGCGGAAAAACTGCTCGCTATTTTGTTTTCACTTTACAGAACAGTGATAGGAGAACAGAATAGTGAGATTAGGCGATTAGCTCAAATTATGGGAGTATTTGTATTTGATTAAAAAAGCACTTCTCACCTTTTAACTTAAAAAAAGCTTAAAAAGTGTTTATCAAACCCAACTTTTGATTAAAAAGGCACTTTAATTCTAAAAGCTAGAAGCTGGTATATACCAACTTCTAACTGCTTCTAGATATTTTTGTAGGGAAAACTGTCAAATAGCTCCTCGAACTTTCATAAAAATGTCAATTAAGTCCTTCTATAGGAGGTTCTGTCCGGCTATCACGATTTGGGGCAGTTCCTGGTGGAATTTTTTGATAAATTTTTTTGAGCATCTTATTCACCAAGTCTAGTTTACTCATACCAAATTTCAGCTAAAAATTCAATCGGGAACACATTCAAATTAATTCTTGAAGATAACTGCGCATTTTTGCGTTCTTGAATTAATTTGAATGCGCTCCCGATTAAATTTTTAGCTGAAATTTGGTATGAGTAAACTAGACTTGATGAATAAGATGCTCAAAAAATTTCATCAAAAAATTCCACCAGGAACCGCCCCAAATCGCGATGACTGGACAAAGTTTCCTATAGAAGGACTTAATTGATTTTTTTATGAAAGTTCGAGGACCTATTTGACAGTTTTTCCTATTTTTGTAATTAAATTGATCTTCAGGGATACTTATAATGGGAAGTTATTTAGCCTAAACCCAAATTAACCTTCACTTTCTCCGTCATATCTCTACCTACGATCATCTCCAATGCTCTTCTTTTAACAGGAAGAAAATTTTGCCAAATGTCAATAGAAGAAAGCAATGTTTGTCAACATAAGATGCACATTAAAAGAAATAAACAAGAGATGTCCAATGCATGATGTTAACCTATTAAATATTATCTGCTCTTCATTTATTATCAAAACACGTAATAGCTTTCAAAAAGAAAAAAGAAAATAAAATACGCAACTACATACAATCCTTTGTTGCCATAAACCTATATAAATAATAATTTTTTTGCCAAAATATAAATAAATAAATTAAACAATAGAATCCTGGGGAGTACGTATATTGTACAACCGGCTGTACGGGGAGCACCGTACAGCCGGCCCAGAAACAGGCCCAAGAGAAAAATAACAAAATAATTCGGTGGCATTTTTGTAATAATGTGGAAATCGCGGTTTCTACTTAATGAGCATTAGTGTACTGTTAATGAGCAATAGTCCAATTTTAATGAGTATTAAACGTCTAATAATGAGCACCGTGTTATTACAAGAAAGCTGATATCACAACTAAAAATGGTGGCATTTTCGTAATTTAAGTGAAAATCGCGGTTTTCGTTATATGAGCATTATTACACTTTTAATGCACATCAGACGTATGATACTGAGCATTAAGAGTCAAATAATGAGCATCGTGATCTCTCCTTCATATCTGGTAATTCACTTTCCTTTTCTTTTTAATGAGCATCAGATGTATTCTATTGAGCATTAAGAGTCCAATAATGTGTATTGTGATATCAATTTCATATATTGTAATTCACTTTCTTTTTATTATTTTTCTTTTATAAAAACTCATTAAATTATATCTATAATCAATTCCTATGAATTTCAATATGTGAATCTAATGTAATATGGTACTTTTGAAATATGTATTGTTATGACATTTTAAAATGAGCATAACATGAGTACCAATTGAGCATATGCAACTTACAAAATGAGCGTAAATATGAAAGTAACAAGGTTTGTTAATTGGACATCACGACATTTTCATTGAGCATCAACCTCCTATATTGAGTTGAAAATAATGTTTTGTGTTAAATGAGTATAATGAACTTTTAATTAGCACTAGACCTATTATATTGAGTATTAGGAGTTTAATTAATAGTAAGCATCATAATATTGCTTCATATCTTTTAATTCACTTTCTTTTTATATTTTTTCTTTTATAGAAACTTAATAAATTATATCTACAATCAATCCATATGAAGTTCAATATGTGAATCTAATGTATTATGATACTTTTGAAATATGCATTGATATGACATTTTAAAAATGAGAATAACATCAATATCGATTGAGCATATGCAACTTACAAAATAAGCATTAATATGAAAATAATAAGCTTTGTTAGTTGAGCATCAAGACATTTTTCATTGAGCATTAAACCTCCTCTATTGAGTATTAAAAGCATGCAATTGAGGACCGATTGAGCATTCATAAATTATAAAATGAGCATTAGTATGTCAATCATAAGTTTTTTTTAGTTGAGAGAGCATCAAGACGTTTTCATTGATCATCAAATCTCCTCTATTGAGTATTAAAAACATGCAATTCAATATCATGGTCTGTGCTCTCATATCTGTAATTAACTCCTACTTGAATCTAATGTAATATGTTACTTTTGAAATACGCATTGATATACGTAGTAACATTTTAATATGAACATAACATCAGTATATGAGCAATGATATGAAAATCATAAGCTTTGTTAATTGAGCATCAAGACATTTTCATTGAACATCAAACCTCCTCTAATGAGTATCTGAAGCATGCAATTGCGTATCTTGATCTCTGCTTCCATGTATATAATCTCACTCTTATGCGAATCTAAAATGATACTTAAGATTTTAGAAATATGCATTTGATAGAGTATTAATTCTAGAGAGAAGTGAGAGCTAGAGAGAGAAAGTGAGTAACTATATTTCTCAACAACCTATAACTAGCCCCAAGGGGTCTATTTATAGGTAAAAATGTGGATTTGGGCTCCTAGCCATGGGCTTAAGAGGCCCATTACAATAATCATGCCTTCTTTGGGCGAAATAGGGCCACTAATGGGCTGAGTACAATACTTAGTAAATAAAGTAGAGAGATGTATTCTGCAAGGACAAAATCTGGCCGATGCGGTGCACTTTGGCCGATGCGGTCCCATGGCCGATGCGGTCCATGGGCCGATGCGGTCTCGGAAGTCCAGGTGCGAGTTCTGGGCCGGTTTGACTTTTGGCCGATGCGGGCCCCACTGGGCCGAAGGGGGCCACGTGGGTGTTCTTCTGGTCATCGTTGACTTGAGTATGTGGGCCACGGGGTCAAGGCCCATATACACTATCAGGAGTCCCCCACTCTCTGAGCTGAGGTGAAGCCGAAGCGAAAGGGAGTACTTGTTCCTTTCTGGCTGGCCGTTGCGTGAGCTTAAGGTGCTTGGTGGCCGAAGAGGTCCTGCTTTGATTTTTCGGATGAAGCGGTTTCTTTATTTGATGGGGACGAAGCGTGCTTTGGATTCATGACCTTGATGCAAGCCGAAGTGCTCCTGTGGAAGAACTCTGAGGCCGAAGCGGTATTTTTTTTTTGTAGATGATGCGATGGATTCTGATGTGGATAAGCTAGCATGTTTTATCGTCATTTGTTGGGCCGAAGAGGTCCCATGTGTTTCTTGGCCGCAGAGATAACCTTGCTTTGTGAAGTGAAGATGATTGATTGTCTATGAGGACGATGCGGGCTGTACGCCTCTGGTCTGCCATACAGCCGAAGCGTTTGTGAGCCGATACTTCACCTATGTTATTTTTATGTGTATACTTGCTTTGATGAGCCGACGCAGTCCCCCAGTTTTGTTCGTGGTGCTGTTGTCAGTGAGTAAGCCGTTGCGTGCTTACTCAGACTGCATTGAAATTTATCTTTTTGGGGCATTGTGGCCGATGCGATCCTCAGTGTAATTGAGGTGAAGTATTTGCCTACTGTCATTGATAAGCCGGTGCGCAATTGAGGTTGTTGCGCTCCATTTTTTTCCCTTTCTGTAGCCGATACAGTCCCCCACTCCTTTGGCCGAAGAGTATATGAGGCACAAGGGAGTCATGATGTGCCCACGCCGATACGATACCTATGCGTTAGTCGCGAGTCCAACCCTTAGGCGAACCTGTCCAAGGTGACCCTGTGGGAGAACCCTTGAACGAAGGCCGCAATGCCAGGGTCATCATCAAACGATGTGCGCGTAAGTAGCCATAGTGGTACGCGTGGTTCTTTGGGTTATTGTGGGGCCGTAGAGTCGTTTAGGCCGACGCGCCCATTCCTTTGGTAAGTTGGGCCGTAGCGAGTTCGCCTTGCTTTTGGGTGAGTAGGCCGGTGTCCGTCCCAGTGTTGGGGCTCATTGGGCCGTAGTGGTGGCCTTAGTGGAATGTGAAGAGACATGCGCTGATTGGCCCTAGGAGAGGCGCCGCTGAGGTGACCTATTGGGGGTTGCCACGTGTAGTGACCGTTGGAGGGGGTGTCTATAAATACCCCCAACTCCGAAGCCATTCCCTCATTTTGCATTTGCTTGAGTCGAATTGCTGCTGAAATTTCTAGAGAGAAGTGCTTCCCAGAACCTTCAAGTGTTCATCGCGTTCTTCACAACTTCAAGGTTAGGTTTTTGTATTGTTTCTTCGTTTTTTCCTTGTACTTTGTTTCCTAGGGGGTTAGATCTAGTGTTTGTAGGAGAACTCACTTGGATCCGAGAACCGCCCTTAGAATTGGGTTTTAGATGTTATGACGTTTCCTGACGGCCGTAGCGCTCCCTCCCCCCTTGACTTAACAGCTTCGTTGGACGAAGAGGACTGGCCATTCGACGAGGAAGACACCTCACCTCGGATCAACTTGGCTCTTGTGGACGAGCTGGCCGTTGAGATGGAGAATACGGCTGATTATCGCACCTCGGTGGACGAGGAGCGTCTGAGCGACGATGCGGGCGCGCAGAATTCTGGGGAGGACGAGGCGATTTCCAACTCGCCTTTGAGGGGGGACGAGGCATCTTCGTCGGCCAATATTCCTTGTCCTCCGCCGATATCGTCTGTAGCAGGGGAGGGCCCCTTGGCTCACGAGACGAAGAAACCGTACCAGCGGAAGCAGCGTAAGGGAGTACCGCAGGGGCACTCACAACTTCACATCAGCAATTTGTACATCATCCGGCCGGAGGGGTCCCTCGGCGACTACCACATTGCTCAGTTGTATGTGGGGCCGTATGGGCGGGTGCGGGCGCCCAAGCTGACGGACCATGTGCTGAGTCCCCCATTGGATTATTTTGGGATCTACCCGATGAGTTTTGCGAAGGGTTTGAGGTTCCCTCTTCATCCCTTTATAACTGAATACCTGAATATGGTGG